GTGACTAACAATAACAGTAACAACAGCTTTTTGACAAGTTTAAAGTTCCTTTAAAATACATTAAAATATTTTAAAAATAAACTACAAAAATTAATTTGATGAAGTGCAAATTAAAATAAAGTTGTATCTGTAACTGTATTTGATCATGTTTTGAACTTTTAAAATATTGCATGGTCAAAACAGAAAATGCACTTCATATTAGTGACAAACCTTGGCCTTTTTTGATGGGTTACCTTCATTTTTGCTTCTACTTTTCATTTAAAATATGTTTCCATTCTGGGTAGGTTTCTAAGGTTTTTCTTCTCCATATAAAAAAAATTGTTAAACATCTGAGTGGCGCACTACCGCTACTAGTGGTTAGAAAGTGTATTGCACTTTATTCAAAATCATTGCTGTCCCACGGCCCTCTGCGGCCCAAAGTTAAAAACTGTTGTTCTTTTGAGGCCCTCAAGGTGGCGCTCGGGCCGCGGCCCATAGGTTAAGAATCTCTGCTTAATAGCATACCACCTTCAGGTTACTTTATTGTACAGGTGCATGATATAAAACTAAAGAAACATATTTGGATTTTTGGTTGCACTCAGCAGTAGGGAATTAATTAATAAATTAATTAATTTTATTTATTCATTCATTCATTCATTGTCTTCTGACCTTTGGTTTGATAAAAAAAAACTTCACTAAGCTGTCTGTATTTATTTATTTATTTATTTATTTATTTATTTATTTATTTATTTATTTATTAAATTGCACCAGCAAAAACAGACTGATATGAAGACCTGCACAGTAAGTACTGTATCTAGAGGGGATGGAAATTAAATTTATTTATTTATTTATTAAATTGCACCAGCAAAAACAGACTGATATGAAGACCTGCACAGTAAGTACTGTATCTAGAGGGGATGGAAATTAAAACACTACCTTAATACAGTATTTGTTTGTTTGTTTCCATACAAGAATTCACATTGTATGCATGGTTTTGTGTTGTTAGAAAAGATAAAAAATTGCATGCAGAGTGTCACCATTTGCATGAATGGGTTAACACATGATGGCAACATTTCACACATGCACCAGATGCATGTGCAGATTATAATGTAAGAAAAATAAAACACAGAGGCTGGCAAAGAGACATGTCTGCAGCAAACGTCCTGCGGTGAAAGAATGAGCCCCTTCTTTTTTAGATAACTCTCAGAGCCTGGACCAATGAAACTTTCTTTATTGTAACTGAAATATTGATATCTCAAGTACCCAGCAATAATTTCCCTGACTGTTCATCTTTTTGTCTTCTGGGTGATTCACAACATCGAGAAAAAGGCAACAACTGACAGTCAAAAGAACAGAGGAGAAAATGGATGAGAGAGGCAATATCAGGACATAGGCTTGCATTATTTTGCAATTTCATGGCAAATATGTAATGAAAATCCCTGCAAGGGCAATAGAAGCATGTATTTAATTAAGCCTTTATAAAATATTAAGCAGGGAGGAGAGGGCGATTTTCCCTCTCCTATGGTCTCTTCAGTGGAACTTTGAATTATGACAACAGAGAGAAGGTAAGTAAGAGTGAGAGGAAGAACAAGTCTGTAGTGCTCAGTAGCATGCCAAAGGGGAGGTTAGGATGGGGGACTAATGCTGCTCCCTTTGCTACCTCTGGAATGTCTTCAAATCACATTAGGGGACCTATTGCCTTGATTTATAAGGGCTCGGTTAGGTTCACTGTTCAGCCCCAGCACCTCTTTGCCTCTTCCGTTAGCAATCTTTGAAATGACTTTGATCTCCTAATTTAGGCGTCACATCCTGTGAAGGGCACATTGTGCAGAAAAAAGGTGTAAATCATTACTAGAAATATGGTCATTTCTTTTTTGCGCACTGTGGTTGGTTTGTACAGAATTGGTATTGGCCCTAAAAATATATTTGGAGAAATAGCACAAAGTAACAGATGAAAGATTTGTAGAATTCATTTTTTTAAACCACTGATGTTGAATTATCAGTTTTTAAAAGGCGTCAAAATTAATCAACTTATTATTAATGTATACAAAATGCAAACAGGAAGAAGACATGTCTTATTTTATTAGTTAATTGAATGACAAGTGCCCAAAAATATTACGACTCCCGTTTTAACTCTAAAACACGTTACAACGAACTAGACTCATCTTCATTACAATATCCACTGAGTTCCACTGACTTTACACAATAGTTGGCCAGTATTCACAAATCTTCAAATTTTTGTGAATAAATAAATAAATAAAATGTACCACTGTTAGCATCATCTTAATGTCAAATATAGTCTTAAACTTTTGCTGTGGACTGACTTAACTGTTTGTGACTTTGTGTCAATTTACAGATCCATACAGACTCAGATGAAGGCGAGGGCAACATCAAATACACCATCTCTGGAGAGGGAGCAGGTTCCATCTTCATCATTGACGAGCTCACAGGAGACATACATGCCACGCAGAGACTGGACCGAGAAGAGAAGGCTTTTTACACACTCCGGGCTCAAGCTCGAGATCGTCTCAGCAATGATCCACTTGAACCAGAGTCGGAGTTTGTTATTAAGGTCCAGGACATCAATGACAGTGAGCCCCAGTTCTTGGAAGGCCCATATATTGGCAGCGTGGCAGAACTCTCACCCATAGGTAAGCTCAGAAAATGTAGCTTATCTTGCAGGGATTATCTGGACAATCTGTTTGAAGCTTGCAACTCAAACGGGCTTAATGTTGCCTTTATTGTATAAAATCATCACTGCTATCATCACTTTGCAGAAGAGATAGACATAACGTACTGTAATGGAATTTCCTGTGATCAAAGGAAGCTGGAGAGTGCAATGAAGACCAACAGCCAAAAAAGTTATTGAGAATACAGACAAAGAAGGCAAAGGTCACATTTTAGATGATGGAAATTGTACTCTTAGCAAATAAAATAAAAAACAGTGGGTAGCATGATGGTGATATACTGCATAGCTACAGTATACCTTGATAAAATAGCTATACTTTGATAGAACTAGATACCGCATAGTGGTAACATAATGACCCCCACACATTCAAATGCACCAGAACTCAGAAGTCTTTATTTCTAATAAATAAATGTCATGCTACTACAGTAGGTGCATCCCAAAATTGTAGTGGTTTGGGTGGGGGTCTGTTTTTTTTGTTTGTCTTTTTTTGGGGGGGGCATTGGTTGACCTGATGTATAGCCCCTCATCAGAGCTAAACAACCAACAAAAATCTGAAGCTCCAATGTTTAATACATTTTGAGCTATAACCATTTTTGTATGTCCAGATACCCATTTTCCAGATAACTTGGGAGTCTGGGGGTGGTGGGAGCACTAATTGGTGGGCCTGATGGATAGAGCTTCATCAGAGCAAAACAACAAAAGAAATCTGAAGATCCTATGTTGAACAGTTTCTGAGTTATAAGCATTTTTGCATGTCTAGACACCCCCTCTTTGGATGGAGACCCCTCCTCAAATATGGTGTCTATCGTAAAACCGTTGGCTGGTGCAGTGTAGGTCACAAATTTCATGTTGATTGGTGCAGCCATTTTTTGTGCTGCGGTTGACCAAAAATCACTGGAAAAAAAACAGTACGAAAACAATATGACTCCCGCTTACGCTCACGTGCGGGGGTCATAATGAACTGAATACAAAATGAGTAAGACAGTGGAGGCAAAAAACGGAAACAGAGGCAAACAAATAGATTACTCTCTGATGAGCTTTGCGTATATGTTTTGACATACTGTTCTTAGACAAATGATGTGGGGGAGAAGAGACAGAGAGGGGAACACAAGCAACAAAGGTGCTCCAGAGCAGCAGATGATAGTCAAGGTTTCCGACAGTGACACTACAATGCTTTTTGTCTCGACAAACTCGTTTTCATTGTGAGGAATTGTATTAGCAGCCTTCCGTAGCTGCCTAAAATTCTCTGCAGAATGGAAAAGACAGGTGAAAGAGGGTGTCGGGAGCTCCATTAGCATGGTATTAATGTCAAAGACAGCTGATGTTTAATAAACAAAATTCTGTTTGGCTGCCAAGAGACATCACAATACCACGCGTGTTCAAAATGTTGTGTGTTACGTTAGTGTGTATGTCGGCAATTATGCATACGCAGTGGAGGGTGGTGGTGGTGTGGGAGCGGGGTGGTGGGTGAGTGCTTCTTGTTTGAGTTACTACAGGAGCGGTGCAAAATGGAATGACTCTTCCCCCTGTTTAAGCCTGATTGGAATTAATTCCTGCTTCATCAGCATGATCCAAACTATGGGCATTTTCTGCCGACAGCATGCTCTACAACTGAATGGGGTTGTGAAGTGCATGTGTGTTAGCATGAGTGGGAGAAAAGGGTAGAGAGAAGGATGTAGGGGGGCAACCGAAAGGTAGCAAAAATAAAAAGGCTGCAAACAAAAAAGTAGCAATGCAGAGTTTCAGAAAAGTCTGCAAAACTTCTGAACACAAAACAACAATTATCCTCTCCAAATGTTTGACGCAGTCTATGAGGTTATGTCACATTAATACCCATTAATGTGATCTTAATGATCATGACCCTTCCACCTCAGCTGCTTTTCCTTGTTTGACCCTGTCATGCTGTCATCAAATTATGCACTAAATGTGTGTGCAGTTCATGTTTTAAACATTGTTGTGCTGTACTAGCCCTAATGAGGTAACATCAGCTGCTAAGTCAAGCATTCTGCTACCTGTCCCTTATCCTTTTGTCCCTCCTGTTCTATTGTTCAACATCAGCTGAAGGCAGCAGTACATTTTGGCATGTCAGTGATAAGGTCACAAGCGAGAACAAAACCAGATGGAGAGAGGGGAAAATAACAAAAAAAGAAGTACCACTTTAGGAGACTTTCATAAATTATTTATTAAGGCTTTATAAATCTTTAATTCATGAGTATGTAAGCATCAATATGGGTTTATTAAGCAATTATGAAATATTGTTCATAGAATCAATTTCTTTATTTAGCAAAATTAAGTGCTGTGCTGGAATACATTAAGGTAAATTAAATTTTTACTTAGTGTAAGATACAATTGTTTTAATTTGCTAAACATTAGGGACATATACAGCAGGTAAAATAAGTATTGAACACGTCACCATTTTTCTCAGTAAATATATTACTAGAGGTGCTAATGACATGAAATTTTCACCAGATGTCGGTA